ACAACAACAACAACACCCTTTAAAAACACTACGTGACCCCACAAATACTTTACTTTGATATATAAAATTGTCATTAAAATATTAAATAATAGAAATAATTGGTACCAGGAAATACAGTAGTTCCTACATCATATTAATACTTGTGTCATCAATATTAAAAATGTTTCCACTTTAAAAATCTAAAAAGGGAAAGTAGGCAATTAAAGAAAATATTGTTTAAGTGTCTCTATTGGGTTTAGTTTTAAAGTTATTTTTAGGACAAACATAAGCACATCTGAGAATTCTCAGTCTTCCACAGTCAAACATAAGCTTGTTCCTGAAACTATTTATACATTTCACCTCCATCAGCCTTTCTCTTTCATTATTAGCAAATCACTTCTACTTCTGACCTTGATCATGAGCATAATGAATCCTAAGGCCGGCAAAGTACTGCTCTGCAATGTTCTCAACTTTGTGCTTTTTCATATACCACTTTCTTGAAGCTAATGCATCAGAATAAAATGGTATGAAAATCAAAGTAGACATGTCAAACATTTCTCCCACATATAATACTGTTTTCATTTCTTGACTGCTTATATTTATTAAGGAACTTTGGTAAATGTCAATTAATTTTTATTATTTTATTTATCCCCGCAATAACATTATGGAATCCAAAGTCAAAAAACCTCCATATCTGTCTAATTGAATCTGACTTATAGTGATTCTAAAGCATAGTGTAGAACTGACCTATAGGGTTACCAAGACTGTTACTCTTTATGGGGGCAGACTGTCATATGTTTCTCCGATGGAGTGGCTGGTGAGTTTGAAAATCAAAACTTTCAGTTATCAGCAAAGTACTTTAACCACTATGTTACCAAGGCTCCCTCTTTATGGGATAAACTATTATTTTCCTCACAATTTCATGACCCAATGCTCAGAAAGGTAAAGATGAGTCACTGATAGATGAGTGATTGGGATTTGAATTCAATCTACACCTGAATTTGTAATATGCCATCCTTTCTCCCAGTTATTATAGGCAAAGATAGAGATTAAAATAGATCACCACCAAAGCATCTACATCTGTCAACTTCAAATGAAATCATATTATGTTGAAACCACAAGCAAATGAACTCATTTACTTTCCAACACCAAGGTTAACTTGATCAATCTTTCTCAGCCCATCTCTAAGATCTAAAAATGTTTTATTTGTTTGTCAGATCCCTAAAAATTCTATTTCACTTTGTTTCTTACCACATTTTTCTTCTGGAATGCATTCAGCTGAATCTGGCCTGTGAAGAATGGTTCCATTTTCACACACACAGTCTTCTCTTAAATTCAAACATGAGGAGTGATCGTAAAACCATTTATTTAGACATGTTCTTGCTTCACAAGGCTGCACACAAGGTTGATATTTCTTCCCTTCTGGGCAACTCAAAGCTACAAGTCACGGTGGATAAAATTTACTAATGATAAATAATTTATTTCAATTATATTAAAAGGAATGGATATCTGGTATCTTTCTGAAAATGAATTTTTCACATTTCAGACTCTTAAATGTTCATTTTTCCTTTTATATGTAATCAGAAAAAAAACCATCAATGGGTATTTTTTAGCATCTACCATGTGTTCAGCTACCATTGGGTGTTATAATCAGAAAAGCTCATCTAATTTATATCAAATATATATGACCAAAGGTCAGTCAAAGTCTGGCTTCTAGAGTCCACTAGCATTAAATTCTTGATTTATGCAGCAAAAGGAGATAAAATAATTTGAAAAGAAAGATATTAAAAATGTATTTTAAATAATTCAATCAAATCATAAGAAAGAAAAATATTGCAGGTATATGTTGAGTCCTTCACTGTAAAAGTTACTGTGAATGCTGAGCAGTTTCTAAAAGACATTTTAGAAAAGTCTTGTTGATTTTCAGTGATCTTAAAAGTCATAATATTAAGAAATGAAACTCAGCTTGTGGAGGTGTAAGTTGGTACAACTTTAGCTGAGAACAATTTGACAGTACATGTATGCTAAAGTTTAAAATGGTATATATTCGCTATGAATCATAAGCTAGAATTGTGATTATAACTGGGGAAGAAGAGGGAAAAAAATAATAGAAGGGCACATAAGAGATTTATTTGCATTTCACTTCAGAAGTTTATTATAGAACTTCTGTTTGTCTATTATCCTTTCTCCACTTTTTTTATTATCAAATTATTTAGTGATAAAAATTAAAACTATAAAAAATAATAAGCTGGTGCTATAAGTGGAGTGTTATTTAATAGTTGAAAAATGTTACTTGCTTTATAACTACTTACAGCAATAATCAGGTGTTCTCCATTGAATACAGATGTCAAATTTGTTGCACAGAGCTACATATGCAGAAAGTGCATCACATTCATAGTTCCAAAAATAGGTGTAATTGATCCACATCTTTTCACAGAAATCCTGTGGTGAAACCTAGACAGAGAGATTTTTGTCACGGGATGAGTAATATTGTTTTATTCCACTAAAGACCCTAAACTTGTTGTTGCTATTAGGTGTCATCAATTCAGTTCCAACTCATAGCTAATCTATGTATGCACAACAGAATGAAACACTGCTTAATCCAACATTATCCTCACAATTGTTATGTCCATGGTTACTACCACTGTGTCAGCCCAACTCATTGGGGGACTTTCTCTAACCCTCCACTTCATCATGCACAAAGTCCTTCTTCAGGAATTGATCCCTTCTTAAGAACATGTCCAAAGAATAAGAGACAAATTTACCATCCTCACTTCTAAGGAGTATCTGGCTGTATTTCTTCCAAGACAGTATTTTTTTGGCAATCCATGCTACTTTCAGTATCCTTTGCCAATAGCATTATTCAAATGTATTGATTCTTCTCTGGTTTTCCTAATTCATGGTCCAATTTTTGCATGAATTTGAGGCAACTGAAAATACTATGGCTTGGGTCAGGTGCATCTTAGTCCTCAAACTGGTAACTTTGCTATTTATACTTTAAACTGGTAATTTTGCTATTTAACACTTTAAAAAGATCTTTTGCAGCAGATTTGTCTAATGCAATACAGTACAGATGATAACCCTGGCATTAGAGTAAAGGATAAAGAATCAGACCAAACACAAATTGGAAGAAGAAACAGAACAAATGCAGCAAATAAGCTGAAGTACAGAGCAGAGGTACCCTGACAGGCATCCTGGCACAGGGTGGTCATTTTTAGACATTTCCTAGATGAGGAGCATAGGAAGGCAACTTCACTGAATCCCTAATAAAACAGACATACAGTCTAGACAAATCTGGAATGGAGCAAGGTGAGTTGAACACAAGCTAGATCTAAGGAAGGAAAGTGTAGGAAAGGCAGCAAGAACTCTAGGCATGCGAGTAACCAAAGAGTAGGGGGATAGTCAATAAACAAGGATGGTACCACTCACCAGCAGTAGTCCCTGGTCATGTGGGTTAAAGACTCATGCAGAGAGTTAGAGGCCCTATAGGGTGTCAGCTGGAGATACTAGATTTGGTAGGCCCCTTCCATTGAACTGAGTCAGGATACGGATCATATAACAAACTGCCCTTACCAAAAGTGTGATGGCTCCTACACCAGTGATAAGAAGAGGGCATTCCCCTCACTCCCTTCCCCTATCCTCCAGTGACCAGAATATAGTGGTTATGAGATGGGCTGCTAGCCTAAAGATCAGCCGTTTGACATTACCAGCCATTCCACAGGAGGAAGATGAGGCTTTCTGCTTCCATAAAGATTTACAGCCTCAGAAACCCTATATAGTGTCACTATAATTCAGAACCAACTCCATGGCACACCACCACCATCACCCCTTCCCTGCCTACTAACGACCCAGCTTTTCTATCCCTCCCATGTCCCACTATCATTTTTGTTCCTCTGGTGGCCTGTGGGGGACTCCTGTGAATTATGCACCTAATGTGTATACTTTCACAGTTAGTGACATGAATTCTCAGAGATCATGCATCTAATACTTGCTGCCTCTGTGACTTGGGGCAAGCATATGCGCCCATCATCATACTACTTCCTTGGCAGCTGGGACCACACATTCCATGGGCCATGTACCTTCCACCTCTGCACTCAGAGGCCTGTGTTGTGACAGATAGTACTCAGCACACACACTGCCTCCATGGTTGGCAGCATGTGATCTAATGAGCTGCATACCATATAGCTGCCATCTCTGCCACTGGAGGCATGTGTTCACACCCAGTGTCATTTTGCTTTTGCTCTTTCTTTTTTTATCTTATTCTCTTTTTCACTTTTTTTTTACATCCCATTTGCAGGAGGCAGTGACTGTCCCCATTAACCAGCCACAATAGCCACATTTGCTACCCTACATACTAAGAGAGTGACATCACCTGCTCCTGCATCATTTACTAGACAGTAGATGGCTGACAACATCCCCTCAGTCTGCACTCAGCTGGTCTAAATGACCAATGAACAGAGACACACGCCCAAACTCCCATCTGCTACCTCACACTCCTACAGACAGGTAGTGAACACCAAACAACCAAACAGAATAGCATGTCCATGAAACCCAATTGAACATATAAAGACAAAATAAAACAAAAATCAGGATGAAACAAACCAACATATCATCAATAAATAAATACAATAACACCACAATGGCTCATAGACAGCAGACAACTTGAAATCACACAAATAAGCCGGACAAAGTGGCTCAAGTAAATGAATAAAATATATGGCAGACTATCTTCCTGAGGTAGAAATGGTAATAAAACTAATAAGGAATTCAAAAGAATTATACTTAGGGCTCTTCAATAAATTAAGGAACACAGCAAGGAAAACAGACAACATTTTTTTTTTTTTAATCATAAACAAAATTAAGGAAAACACAAACAAAACTCTAGAAGAAGGAAGATAGAACTTGATGGTGGATAGATGCAGTGAAGTTCTCCGTCAGCAATACCACAGAATACCAGGTGAAGTGGGTTCAGGGCAGAGCTCCAAAACTCTGAACCACATATCTAGGAATATTTTAAAAGTTTGAAGGCTTATAGCTAGTGGAACTTGTAGCAGAAGTAAGAAATCTCGTACTTTAGAATCTGCCAGCTCAGCAGCCCAGAGCCAACAACTTGGGTGAGACCAAACAGCAAGACCAAGCAGGGGAGCGAGCAGACCAGCCAAAGAAGAATGCTGCGAGAACCTCAGAACAAAGGTGGACAATATACATTGACAATTTTGCTTAGTTCTGATTTTTTTTTGGTATCTGTTCATTGCCGCCCCCACTGTTTGTGTACCTCCATTCTGGTGGCTAGAGAGGGTGCCTGAGTGAGTGGACACCACCCACCTCCACTGGTGGGTTCTTCTGCCACACATGCACACAGATACTCTCACCATTTAAAACTAAAGGCAGCCAGCTCAAAATAGCCACAGCTGGCCCTGAACTGTTTACTAATAGGGAAAAGGACAAAACAAAACAGGCTGAAAATGAAACCCTGAAAAACAGCATAAATACCAACAGTGGCATCTTGAAATTTAACAGGAAGCCTTGAAGGCAAGAAGCTGAACGAGGATATTAAAATCATACTCATATTATGCTATAAGTTTTTTTCTTCTCTCCCTCCTCTCCCATTTCTGTGATTATAGAATTCAATCCAGTTTTTGTTGTTGTTGTTGTTTGGTGTATTTTTGTTTTGTTTTTTGATTTTTACCTTTGAGGGATACTTTCTCTCCCTATACTACCCAAAAAGAGACAGCAATTGCTGCCAGATAGTCAAGCTACAATCACACCAACAATCCAGGCAAGAACCAATACCAACTGCCATACACCAAGGAGGCAGAAAACACCAGTGAAAGTTACTCTGAGTTAAGCAATAAGATGAGTGAAAAGGGAAGCCTGCATCCTGATCACATAAACCTGGAGGCAATCAGAAAATATAAAAAATAACAAAACACACACTCAATTAAGTATTAAGGCCACAGATAAACACTAAACATGTCCAAGAAGTAAAAGCAGATGACCATATCAGCACATGTCTAGAAACAAGATGAAATGTCACACAAATGACATAGAGGTAAACCTGGATTCCATTCTGGAAGGAGAGAAAGCCTTGGAAATGTCGTAGAAGGAATTCAGAAAAATGATTATAAAATGTTTCAAAACCTTTTATAATGGAGTAGAGGAAAATAAGGAAGAAGTCAGGAAAGTGCTACAGGGACAATCAAATAAGATAGAAACAGCATTGGAAACCATTCAAAACCTACAGAAAGAGGTCCAAATGAAAGGGCTAAGGAGTAGAACAGAGAAGATGAAAGGCAGAACCAGTGAGCTGGAAGACAAATTTCTCAATATCACTAGATAGAAGAAAAAGCAGGAAAAAAAGGATAACAAAATTTGAAGAAGGTCTAAGATTCATGTTGGACAACATGAAGAGGAATAATAGGTATCTATTGTTAGCATTCCAGAACAGAAAGAATCACACAAGTCCACAGAGGAAATAGTTGAAGAACCGGTGGAAGAAAATTTATCTAACATCCTGAAAAGTGAAAAGATAAACATTCAAGAAGTTCAACAAACCCCAGGAAGTATAGATCCCAAAAGAAAATCACCACAACATATCATGATCAAGCTCTCCAAAATCAAAGATAAGGAGACAATTCTGAAAGCAGCTAGGGAAAAGAAAAGTGTTACATACAAAGAAAAGAAAGTCAGATTAATCTCAGATATCTCAGAAGAAACCTTATAGGCAAGAAGGCAATGGGGAGACATATATAAAACCCTGAAAGAAAAAACTGCCAACCAAGAATCCTTTATCCAGCAAAGCTATCAATCAACTATGACAGTGTGATCAAAACATTACAGGATAAACAGAAGCTAAGGGATTTTTCCAAAGTCAACCCTGTGCTACAACACATCCTAAAGGGAGGTCTGTGGTCTGGGAACCAACCAGAACAGACAACAACCAAAGATTAATGTACGTGGCAGCACCTCCCAGAATTAACAACAGAAGGAAGAATCGAGAACAGAACAAAACTATAAGAACAAACTCAGAGAATCTGAGAGGCCAGTCTATGATCAAAACAATTACAATGTAAAAGAGGGTAAACACGTAGGAACAGCAATCCAGATGGTGAGAAGGTCAGGTAGCTTACAGGATAAAATAGACTGCATTAAATGGAGGGAAAAGTTAATGGAACATAAGGTAACCTCAAAGAAAATTAATACTTCACAACATGCCAAGAAAATGAAAATCCAAGAAGAACATGGAAACATTGAAACTATGAGGAAACTGACAAGAAAGAACACAAAAAACATGAACTCAGCACAGGAAGACACAACGAACAAAGAAAGCAGCAATACCACACACACACAAAAACATAATGGCAGCAATTAATCCATGCCTATCGATAATGACATTGAATGTAAGTGGATTAAATGCACCAGTTAAGAGACAGAGGGTGGCGATATGGATAAGA